CTGACGAAAGACGACGTGAACTTACAGTGGGGGAGGAGCAAGAACAAGCGTTCAACGAACTGAAGGAAATACTCCAGTCGCCCCCTATCCTCGCACACTTCGATCCTTCAGCGGAAACGGAAGTTCAGATGGACGCCAGCAACGATGGACTCGGCGCGGTACTTGTCTAGAAGCAAGACGGAGCAGACAGGGTGATTGCTTACGCAAGCAGGGCACTGTCCACGGCGGAGAAAAATTACTCAGCGACCGAAAAGGAATGTCTCGCTGTCATCTGGGCGTTAACCAAGTTCCACCTGTACCTGTACGGGATCCCGTTCCGAGTTGTCACGGACCACAACGCTCTCTGTTGGCCCACCAACCTCAAGGACCCGTCAGGACGCCTCGCTCGCTGGAGCCTTCGGCTGCAAGAATACGACGTAACCATTGTGCATAAGTCTGGCCGCAAGCACAACGACGCCGACTGTTTGTCTAGGACCCCAGTCGAATTTCCTACCGAAATCATTGACGACGACGATGACACCCGTTTTCTCGGCGCAGTTACAGATACTGACATGGGAGCACTTCAACGAGACGACCGGGAACTTCGCGCTGTGATCGACCAACTCGAAGGTCAAGGAAGTCCAGTTCCTTGAGTCTTGGCCCGAGACTCGTCAAGCTTCATTCTGCGGCGCGGCGTGCTCTTCAAGAACTTTGGAACGAGCAACCCTGCCTGGCTGCTGGTTGTTCCGGCCAGCCCGCGAGAAGAGATCTTTCAAGCATGCCACAACGACCCGACGGCTGGACACCTCGGCTACAGCAGGACACTCGCCCGGATTTGTGGCAAGTACTACTGGCCGAGACTCCTGAAAACAGTCCACCTGTACACACGATCGTGCCATGAGTGCCAACGATGTAAGAGGCCTCCGACGAAGCCAGCAGGACTCCTGCAGCTGATACCCGCCCCGACTACGCCCTTCCAGCAGGTCAGAATGGACTTACTTGGGCCGTTCCCAACATCGACTCAAGGAAATCGGTGGATTATCGTCGCTACCGATATTCTTACACGATACGCCGAGACGAAAGCCCTGCCATCGGGAACAGCACTGGAAGTCGCGAAGTTTTTCGTCGAGTCCATCCTCCTTCGACAAGGCGCACCCGAAGTGTTGATGACAGATCGAGGATTACCTTTCATGGCACAGCTGACTCAAGAGGTTCTTCGGGTTAGTCACACCAACCATCGACGAATTACCGCTTATCATTCGCAGACGAACGGACTAACAGAGCGGCTCAACAAGACGATCGCTGACATGACCTCCATGTACGTCGACGTGGAGCACAAGACGTGGGACGAGGTGTTACCGTACGTTACGTTTGCGTACAACGCAGCGGTTCAAGAAACTTCGGGAGTGACGCCTTTCCAACTGGTACACAGCCGGGCGGTTACCACAATGCTCGACGCCATGCTGCCTCACGTGCCAACCAATGATGGCAACGACGACGCTCAACTGATCTCCCAGCGCGCGGAGGAAGCTCGTCAGCTGACAAGAATCAAGATTCAAGACCAACAGCGAGTCGACGCACGCCGGTATAGCCTTCGTCGCCGTGACGTCCAATTTCAACAGGGAGACCGGGTATATTGGACACCAATACGGCGCCGCGGTCTCAGCGAGAAACTCCTGAAACGTTACTTTGGACCCTACAAAGTGCTTCGTCGACTCGGGGATCTGAACTACGAGGTGATGCCCGACGGAACACGGACTTCGTCACGCCGCCCCCCACGACCGGAAGTCGTTCATGTCGTGCGACTGAAGCCGTACTACACTCGATAGGACTGTGAACCTTATGTGTTCCAAATGACTCTTTAGTTTACCGTTCTTTTTATTTGCTTTGTTTTGTTTTTGGGTTGCATCGGGACGATACACTTTTTAAAGGCGGGAGTAATGCCGCGCGCGCAGCTGGCCAAGTAGGCAGCGCGCGCGTAACCTAACGGATATCGCAAAAAAAAAAAAAAAGCCTAACGGTTATCGCGCTTGCCTTCCACGCTGAAGGCCAGGGTTCGATTCCTGGCCGCGGCTACACATTTTTTTTTTTTTTTGGCACTGTAATGTGATGTTCTGGTGAATTTGAGAACCGTCTTGCTGATAAGAGGTTAGAATGTTTTACGCGCCGAGCCTTCTACGCCGAACGATCCAGAAACCCACGAGGGTACATGGGATTCCGCAAGGCAAGCGGAGTCGGTTTTCGCCCCAGCGTTCGACTCTGCTGCTACGCCGACTTCGGCGCGCGCGACGCTCTGTTATTATCCTTTGTACCCTTTCATTTTTGGCACAAGTTCGCCACATTAAACGTTTATTTCTTCTTGCTTATTTATTGTTTTTTTTTGTTGTTGTTTTTTTGCCACCACACGTGCCAATATGTCCGTACCAGATGCAGAAGTTTCAGCGCGAACCGATATCTTATTCAAAATTATAAGTGATTTTCTTAAAATTTCGATGAGAAAATGGCCCCATTTTGGCCCGTTTTTGGTTTTTGCGCCATAAAGCTTCATAAATTCGAGAGTTCCTTCGGGTATACCATTTTCCCGTTGAAATTTTCAGAAAATCACATATAACTTTTGGATGACGTATTCGTTCGGGCTGAAGCTTTCGCAGTTAGTTCGAGAATCTAACGCTACCTTCGGGCGAAGAATGAGCGTTTAGCGATGCGTAGTTTAATATGAGGTGAAGAACACCCTGTAAATATTTTTCGGGGACACCCCGTATATTGACAACGATGTTGCTTAGCACCTGTGCCGCCAGCGAGTCAAAGCGACAGTACGTCCATCTACAAACTGCGTGCACGTGGACACAGGGTTACAACGAATGCCCTTCGAACCTCGTGACTCTGAAATTGGTTTCAAGGGTGGCCGTGCGGGTCTTTAGGCTTAGCGGCTTTGCTTTGCTTTCCTATTTGACACGTCGAACGATGCAAGGCGAGAAAACAACTCCCACATCGGTAAACGCCATCCTATAAATAGGCCGACACCGCGATTATCGACTGTTTTGCCCTGGTAAATTCAGGCCTAGTTTTGTCTGCTGCTTCAAGAAGAGCTCGCTACCACGTACAAAAACTAGGACAACCAGAGAGGCATAGCTTGACTTACTCCACAGGGGCTTTCGAATTCTCCTCCCGGAAAGCTGCGGCCATGAACCAGAGGAAATCAGTTCGTGCATTCCCTATTTTCTCCATTCCGAGTTGACGAGTTCTCTCGCACTCGTTCAAATTATTGCAATGCATGTGAGTGCTTCAAGGAATTCGTCAGTTTGGTTTAAAGAGGGCCAAAAAAACGGACTTCTCAAGACAGCCTCTCGCCGAAGGGGGCGCTCTAGTGCACTCGATATGTTTCCTCATTTTGTTTTCTTGCATTTTCAATTTTTTCTTAAATTATATTAGATAAAATTATTACAAATATATGCATATATGTATTTCTCTATTTTAAGGGACGTCTTTGTGAAAGTCTACCACTGAAGTCACAGGTTTACCTTGGCCAGCCGGACCTACAACCTTGATGAATAGCAGTTTAACAAGCTTAGTGGCTCAGTCATTACCACCTCATCACGAATATATATATATATATATATATACACATTTGCATATAATTTGCACCGCTTCTTACTTTTCTACGACTTTCTGTAAAAAAGGTAGTTGTAGCGATTACAAGTGGAAAACTTTCGGCTAAGGCACCTAGAACTTGTAAATTTAAATGCGAAAACTAGATTACTGGTTCAATAAATGCGAAGGACAAGCAGCGCGGGTATTGTTTTAATTAGTATAATACATCAATTTGAGCCCAATGCCTGAATACTGCACAATACTATATCTGGTTATACGATACACGGCATTGGGCAAAAACGCAGTCGTGGAAGGTGCCTTTTGCAGAGCTGTAGCTTTGAAGAAAACAAAATGATGCAACATTTTTTTTATAAGTAAACACAATAGTGTGGTGAAAGAACTATCACTGTGAATTTCAATAAAGGGTTTACGGTAGTTGTTTTTTTTTTTTTTTTTCTTAATTTATATTTTGAAGTTCTTTATCGCTCTACTTCAAAACAAGCTTCGAGCGACATAAAAATTGTATTGTTTTTAAATAAAGCAATTCTTTATATATTCTTCGAAAGAACTTATTAATAAGAAGTTATGGCATAAATATTAATGTTGTAGCTCTTCAATTTTATTTAGATAACGGTTTAGAAATCAAGTGTCAAAATGACAAAGGAGCAATGTTTGCGCGTTTTGGACGCAATGTATATACTCACCAAAACGCTGTACATATCTAAATCAATAGTTCCCTTGTATTATTATAAGTAGAAAATATTTGAGATTTCTCATATTTGTAGTTTGCGTAGTATATATCACCAAACTTGACATTAGCTAAAAGTTCAAAGGTCGAATATGCCGTTCTGGGCTACTCAATTTTGTTGTTGTTGTTTTTTTTTATTTTTTATTACCTTTTCCTACACATATTGTGTAGGAAAAGTAATAAAAACATCGTCCCGCCTTTCCACTCTCGTGAAGAAGGAAGACCAGCGGAGCTGTACTCGATACACTGTGTGCTTCTTTTTCGTCATCGTATGTTTTTCGCGCTGTTTCCTACGATGAATTCCCACCAACGCGCCCAACTATCCATTCTTCTATTATAGCTGGAAAGGTTGCCGCCATCTACGAGCGACGACGGAAACCATACTGGTTGTATGCTTGCCGCCGTCGCTTATAGATGGCGATACCTGTCCAGGTAGGTTTGTGTTGACATACACGGACACGATCCTGTGAAAACTAGCCCAAACAGCTCCACCATAAAAAGTTGGTGAACAAATACGAATGACTAGCGCTGTTATTGTGTATAGGCAACACTTCACTAAAATTTACGCCTATTTTATTGCGGAACTTTCTGCGCATTCCTAATTGAAAAATAGCCTAATGCATTGCATAAAATGCAGTGCCATTACGTAAAGGTTCTAAGTGTATTTGTTCCAACTATTTAGAATGAAAGACGTCTGTTGGAAAAAGACCCCGAAGCCCGATGTTTCCTCCAATCGGAGCCTTCCAGCGACATACTTCAAAGCAGAAAACTACTGTTCTACTCGACATTCCCATGGAGTTTTCAAATGTCCTGTGAGTACAAGCTTGCCCTGGCAGGCATATATATATTACAAAGCGACTTAAATATTTGAACCAATAAATTTCTAAATATTTTACATTGCAGGAGGGCAATAAATATCACGTTGCTAACGCTACAGAATGTTTCATGGGCTGTTGCCTAAACAATACCGTGAATGCTAGGGGTTTCAGATATGAGTTGCCTGATGGCACTCCATGTGGAGACAACAAGGTATGTGTGTCGGCACCTGAAAGGTTTTACTAGAATTCAAAACTGATAGTCGGTTACAAACGTAGATTAGGAAATATTTACAAACGTATCAGTGCCCGTCAAACCTTTTGGATATGGAGAATCAAGGTTATAAAAGTTAATAGGAATGACTCCAAACAAGTGTATAATCATTAGACCCTTTGTCACATATAACCAGACTTGTACCGTACGCATTACAAGTGATCAAATTAATTCTAATCGATTACTTTTTGGAGTAATTTTGTAATCAGTTGATTACTTTTATTAGGCAGTAATCAGAAGAGTAATCTGATTACTTTTTGAAGTAATAAAATTACTTGTAACCGGTTACAATTTGTCCACGGAACCCCCACCCCCGGCACACGCCTTTTTTTTATAAAATGACAGAAATAAAATTTCCTTCTTTTTTTTTTTTCGAACGGAAAAAAAGAAAGATTTTTGCGGAGCTGCAGGAAACGAGGGGAATCTCTTTCTATGTACAGTTTCTGTGGAATGTCCGTTTTTTGTTTTGTTTTTCGAGCTGGGACTGGGAGTAGGAAGCCCCAGGAAAGCCACAGTGCGTGACAAAGGCCATTCAGGGCGAAGTTTGAGGAAGCAGAATGTAGCTTTGTGAGTCCTTAGTTTAAACTAGCCCCCTCACTTACACACACACATAAATAAAACAATAAAAAAAATCCTGCTTAGGGTACCTACTCGCAGCCCGTAGAACCAGAACCGAAGAATGCCTAAAGCGGATGCAAAATATAACAAAGGCAGTTGAAATATTTCCCCATTTCCCCTTCGTGGCCTTTGTGACAAGAAATGTTTGGAGTTGAGAAGTGGTCGGGGCGATCTCTTCCTCTAATGAATACTGCACATGATCCGTTTCAAATCCTGGAGCTGCTGCTCTTTTGTATAACGTGCGAGTTCATCCATATCTGAATAATTAAATGAGCGACGCAAACTTTGAGCGACAACCCTTGCTCAAGCTTAACAAGATCTAGAACCCCCTCCGCTCCCCCCCCCCCCCCCCCACACACACAAACACACACTCGCGAACGCCCAAATCATTAAACGTCTTCAAACGAATTCCATGCTTGTGTCCGCATTGTGAAGGTGCAACGACCACGAAGAGGGAGCCAGTTTTTCTTCAATACTTGTGCAAATGTGAAATATAGGTTGGAAGTAGTTCATTGTTATGAGCGCTAAAGATGTGTCTTCACGCAATAAAGTAATCGGAAAAGTAACAATCGCATCTTTAAGTAATGTCCAATTACTTTTGCCGTCGAGTAATCAAGTAATCTAATCGAATACTTTTTAGCCAAGAGTAATAGTAATTGTAATCGATTACTTTTTTTTAGTAACGTGTACAAGACTGCATATAATAACCCACCCCAACACTTCAGCTCGACGTACCGCGCACTGACCTCGAACTGACGGCCCCAACTTTTACAAGATGCTTGATGAAGGTACGATATAATATATTAGGCAGCTCAATCACGTTTCAAAAACTACAACAAAAAAACACTAATGTTTTGCGGTAGGGCCAAAAAAATCCCGATTACTCTTTTTTGCAGTCAGACACACGTACATTTTTTGAATTTGTTTTTTAATAAATTGTACATCTCGGCTATCGAGCCGCCAGTGAAAGTTGATACCGCCAGCTTCACGTCAGTGCGCGGTACGTCGAACTGAACTTTTGGGGTGTATTACATGTGACAAGTGGTGGAAGAATATGCACCTTTTTTCGTCTGTGTTTATAATAACTATGGTACTTAGAATTGAAGGAAAGTTATTTCTCGAAAGTAAACATTTGGCAGGAATCTGCCTGGTTCGGTAAGAACAATTAGAAGAGGTGGAAGGGACGCCAACCGAAAATCAAACGAAGCCCAACGTTTCGAAACCTGCTTGGTTTCTTCTCCAGGGGCGACTGTGTGCGCGAGGAGCAAGTGGTCTTCTTTTACGGCGGTGGACGTGATGTTTTCGCGATTGTAATGTGGCTGAGCCCGCTGACGCAGACGGATGGTAAAGCGCCAAGCGACCGATTGATGTTTTGCGGTGTGGTTTGGATGTGCCACACCGCAAAACATCAATCTTTCGCTTGGCGCTTTACCGCGAAAACATCACGTCCACCCCCGGTTTGAACGTTTTTAATATAGATTATATACCTGCAGGACAACCGGTAAAAAGTTCTATTAAGTCCCCGGAGCAATTAGATATTGTAATAAAATAACAAAAGTAACAAAATTTTCATTTTTTTATTTAAATTAAATAAAACTGCACAAGCCCAACCACATTGCAAGTCAAAAGCCGTGCAGATTTAAGAACAAAATATTGTTGGGTGTTTTATAGAAAAAGCTGATTTTTCAGAAATTAGGGAGTGATACCTAGTTTCACGCTATTTTTAGAAGTTAAAACCTCGTTCACGCCATCAAAAAAAAATATTTTCGTTAAAAATATTTTAGGGCATAGCTACGGACAATGCGGCGAAAGGTCATGAACGCTTTTTTTTAGAAATCAAAGGTGGTCGAGCGCAACGTCTGGGACGTTTGACATGGAATGACCCCTATATATGATCCGTATACACGATTTGCTAAATAGATCACATTAGGTTAGGATGTGCGCCAGGAATGTTTAAAAATAAATAAAAATAGGCACGGCAGCAGCTAATAGCCCGTTGAGAACCGATTGCCACAAAATGAGGTTTCAATAAAAAGAAACTAACATAATTGAGCTTTAGTTTCTTCGGGACTGGTTGCCAATTGAGCTAAACCTGCCATAAGTGTAAATATTATACGTTCCTGGTCTGTCACTGTCATATTAGACGTTAGATATTTAGACATCATGAAGTTAATCTACCAAAGATTATGGCTGCATAGTTACACGCTTTAAGTATGAAACGAGCGTGTTGTTAACAGTAATAAACATGAGCAAGATACATAAAAAGGGGGGACGGACAACGATTCGGTCCGTCCCCCCTTTCTATGTATCTTCCTCATGTTTAAGTTCCACGCTGTAGATGACATTAGCCAGTACGACGTAAGACCGCCTACCTAGGGTATCCGACGTCCAATACACGAAGGTTGCTACACGAACTCACGCCAATGTTTATTCGTACTCAAGCGGGTAAGGGAAAAGAGGGGAGGGGGAGAGAGATAATTCTGCAGCACGAGCTATCACTTCACTTGCTCCGAGCAGTAGTTGGATAACGTTCTCGGTTATTTTTGCACGCAAGGTAAATAGGCTGTTATACTGGAGCAAAGGTAAAGTGTGTACATATACGCACTTGCATCGGGTGTTACTTTCCAGAATTAGATCATAGAAGCCCGGAAAATGCTAATTCTAACTTTTTCTGCAAAGTTTATTCCTCTTTAAAATCGCAAGAAGTCTAGCCAGCTTGATTGGCCCACTGCCCAAGTCAACATTCCTAGTGTTGCAGAAAGAAACGTGATCGCGCAGGCGAGCTGGTGAGCAATTATACTGAAAAACCCGGAGACGAGGGAACACAAAAAATGTGCCAAACACAACACCGCCTTTAATTGAAAACGGTGTGGCTTTTGTCCACTCCTTTGTGTCTCGTCGTCTCCGGGGGTTTTCAGTGTGATTTCTATTGTGACGCTTAATTCATGCTTCAAAAACGATTTATGGGCAAGAAATTAGAAATACTTCCTCTCATATCGAGAGTTCTGCTTTGATTTTACAGTCATATCGACAATAAAAAGAGGCGTCCAGAAAACAATTTACGAGAGTAATCGAAGCTTGTACGCATAATAGAACCTCACGCAAGCCTCAGATTCAGATTGCTAATCTACGTTTTGTTAATCCTTTTAAGCATTTACCGGTTTCGCACCTGAGGCGCAAGGAGATTTTTTTCTTAAAAAGAGAATACATCCAAAAAGCCAAAACTGACTGATTACGTCGGAGTGCCGTAACTGTAGCTTTCCGGTAATTTCTTCAGTATTGCCGCTTCGCTTTTGCTAAAACCAAATTAATTAAGCACAGGTTTCCATTGCCCATCAGTTTTACTAGTCTTCTTTCCTACATGCTCCTAGATTCCCACCAGTATTGGCTTTGAAGTTGTTTTCCTATTCCCAGAATTTAGAAGCTTTAAAAACGTTCTCTACTCAATTTTTGCCCCGGCTGCGGCGAGCATGATTAAGCAGATCATCACACTATTTTTTTTTTATTCGCTAGACAAATCATCGCGATTATGCTCGATGCGCCGTCTCTATAATTTCCGATCGGCGGTTCCAAAAAATAAATTTAGAACGAATACCGTTAGCATGTACTCAAAACGTTTTTACAGTTTTTTTTTTTTTTTTTTTTTTGAATATTGAAAGCACATTTTCAGCACTGATAATTCGAACACGAAAAGCTGTCTCGTCTTTTTTTGTGTGTTTCTTAAGTTAGAAGAAAGTACATTAAATACAGCGAATGCACTTATCTTGGCTGTAGTCCTACTACGCGTGTAGTTAAGGGCCTGATTTATGGTGCAACTGGTTGCAAATACCTAACGATAAAAAGCCGTCCTCTTAAACATGACAGCTACGGCAACACACCATGAAAGACTGTATGGCGGGCCAAAAGAGAAAGTCTCACAATCGCGTGGGCGAGATTGGTCCACCATTCAGCCTGCAGAAGGGAGTATCATTGGCAAATCAACAGCAGTGTCACCGTGCACTCCTACGCAGCAGGCGAGAGTATGAGGTCGAAAGTGAAAGGACCAGTGCAGCTCACAGTAGCCGATATTAGTAATAGCACTGCCGTCGACTCCAAGATGACGCTCCGCTGTCTAGGTGAAATCCCAGGACCATTCTCTCTTGTTGGGCAGTACGAAAGACACTCAAACCTACGCCATTCAGCCCACAATCTTGACAGGCTACAAAATCCCTAACTGAAATGAACGTGTATATCAAATATTAGTAGCTCAAAGTCAAAATATGCCTTGGCTGTCATATTTTAGAGTGCCAAATGTCGCTTTGCGCTATTTATATTCAAATTGAAATGGCCACTGCCTGGCATTGGCGCCAGGGGTCTTCGGTGGCGCTCTCTTATAACTCATACCCGTGGCGTCCATTTGCAGACCAGAAATTCGATGGTGTGAGTAAAACACTTGGTGGAAGCTTAGGCTCATCGGCTTCTAACACGAGCACTGTATATGTTGCGTGTTGCTTATGCACGTCGCCAGTACCAAAACTAAGACACACGAAAGAATATCGCTGAATGAAAAGACGTCAGTAATGTGCCGAAGTGCTTATACTCACATGGGATAATTTCTGAAAAACACAGGAGGGCAGCCATAATCACACTATCAAAATTTCCCACGTAACGCAGTCTTAAATGTTATTAAAAGGATTTGTTGCATCAGAAGCTCAGGAGTTTCTTGGTCAGATGAATAGAGGCATGATGACTCACTACAACAACGATAGCTGCTTCGCTCGTTTTAATATCATATCGCCATGTCACTTCCGTATTAGGCTTTGCCTTTAATAAAGAGTAATGATAATTAACTATTTTGTTTTCAGATCTGCATTTATGCGACTTGTTCAGAATTTTCTGAGGAAAACAGCAACTAGCGACGTTCAACATAAAACGTTTGATGAAGAAACTTATTAGCCCCAATGAAAGATGTTTCGTCGGGAAAAACGAAAAACATCCACGTAAAATTCTTCTGTAACTGCTCTGAACATTAATAAAGGCCGCCCAAACAGAACAAGCTTCACATGCCGTGCTCATTTTATAACAGCATTAGCCATTTGCTACACGAAATGTCTATATTATATTGCGCACAAAATCATGTCCGCTTAAAATTTTTCAAACACCTAATGCTAGAACTATGAGATTCACCCCTACGAGTAACCCCGCTAGTTTAGCATAAAAGTTACAAATAAAAGATGTCAAAGTTGTCAAGATTAAAAAAAAATTTATGAAGCGACTTTGGACCTGCGTAAGGTAACGAACAATTGGTGTTTCGTACGCGGTGCAGACAAACTCTCTCAACGATTTCAAGAGTTATTGCGTAGCCACTCAACGACCGACAAGTTTTGGAGGTTTGCACACTCTCTCCCTTGAATGTGATTCGTGATTTAGAGTGATTGAGTGTGCTGTGCTCACTTGTACCCCCTTGCGACGGAAGAACACTGGCACACTACAGGCATCTATCAGATAGACCTGTAAACGGTTGTGATCTGCGCCTTTATTTTCGAATTTCTTTTAAAAAGTCATTCATTTACTCTAAACAAAAGCAATTACGGCAACGCTAAATCTGTGGTGATAAAATCAATGCAGAGGTGCGGGCGACCTGGACAAGAATGGCGAAAATAATCCCTACAGAAGCGGAACAAGGGGGACAAAGGACAAACACAAATCTCCAAACACAGCTAGGTGACTGGGGCGCGACCAATTTGTGTTTCTCCTTTGACCGCCTTGCTTTCCGTCTCCGGGGATTTTTTTTTTCGCCATTCTTGTGCAGCTTGCTTGCACCTTTACATTAATTTCATTATCACAAACTCCTTAAAATGCTGGCCGTTGACCTTTGTTGGTGTTAGAACGGTGGTGGCTGCCAAACCCGTCTGCTTCACTGCCATCTAAGTCCGGCTTAGCTCACTTTGTAGACCGCTCCGCTGGAAATAAAGAGGCGCCTGGTTCGATACCAAGACCAAGCTGAGTCCTTCGGTCGCACCCCTGTCACCAAGCTACGTTTGAAAAGTTGTGTTTGTTCTTTGTCCACCTCGTTCCCCTTCTCCATGGATTATTTTCACGAATGTTAAAGCGACCGTTTCTTACAAATGGCTCTCAGGGTTGATCTCGCGAATACTGCGAAGCTTTATAGACAAAATTTGAAGTGTTCCAAACGTACCTGATAAACAACGTCAGCGTGCCAGACGGTGTTTTTGTTGTCATTGGTTACAACGATCACAGCTCATTTAATCACACTTAATTGCAAATGTGTCACCAAGTCCTGTAGGTTGGTACAGAACAAAAATTATCCCCCGTAATTGTTGGATGAAGGCGAAGGGGGTCTGGACAAAATGGTCCAGTGCAAAATGGTTTCAGACAAGGTCGCACCTGACTGAATGGCTCCCCAAAATATAGTTACAAGTGCAAGCCGCGACAAAATGGTCTTCGCTAAATTATGCGGCACACTTTACTTACTTCTCAGCTATGGGCGATTTTCTCTCTATGGAAATGGAACGTACTGAAAAGAAACTGTTTGAGACTAAGTTATCAAACTTTAGTTATATTCAAGTTAATAATGTATGGGTGTTTCTGGACACAGCGCCATCTTCACCGTCATTCTCGTTATTGGAGCGTGCACTGCGCCACGGAAACTACGTGCCCATGCCAAGGGCAGTTGAGCTCTGAACGTGGGAAAGTAAAGATCACGCTCAGCAGCACGCCTTCGTCTTGGTCTTCTCCATATTGTCACGAATGACAGACGATGAGGCAGGAAGAAACAGAATTAACTCAATATTTTATACGGGCGAACTTGTGCCAGAAACGAAAAAGAAGAACACATGTCGCGAAAACATCAGCGAGCGTCGACGGCGGCAACAGCAAGCGACGATGCGTCTGCGTAACAGCTGGCTATCTCCATAGGGAATCTGGGTGAATAAATTAGAAACTCGGCGCTCGGTTCTTAATCTACTATGCTCGTCATCTAAAATAAATGTTGATACTATAAATATTGATACTTATACTAAAATAAATGTTGATACTATAAATATTGATACTTATACTAAAATAAATGTTGATACTTATAAGCAACTTTTATGTTTACTAACTGTAAGGAAAGGATTAGAACCGCTCAGTACCGCTCGCATCCATTTTATCCCAGAACGACAGATTCACCGGGTGCGGTGGCCCACGAGCTCGTGCTCTTATGGGCTCTCGTCTTCTTCTGATATTCAACATTAACTGCGATGGCTTTTAGTGGCTATAGTGGGCTATTAGCTTCTATTTCTGGCCAGGTTCGCCCCAAGGGGCTTGCAATGGCTATTAGCGAGTAGAAATGACAATTTTGTGCTATTTGACTGTTTATGGACGAAACTGGCTACTAGTGGCTTTTATTGACTATAAGCATTTATTCTTTATTAATTGGCTTGAAATAGCTACAATTGGCTATTAGTGGTTAGTCTTGATAGTTATGAGCAATTTTAGTGTTTACTAACCGGACTGGCTTTTAGTAGCTATTGTTGGCTACTGTCATTCATTTTTGACCATATTGACTTCAATGGGCTAGCAATGACTATAGCAAATATAATTGTGAATATTCACGAATAGCCATTCAGTGGATATTCAAGAATAGCCATTAATAGCCATTTGAAGCCAATCTGGTAAAAAATAGACGATTATATCCAAAAATAGCCACTTGGAGCCATTGCAGTTTGTAGACAAAGAAATATCTGCTAATTATAAATACTAGTCACCTATAGCCATTTGTAGCCGATTCAAGCCAACCAGAACAGGAACAGATGTTTGTTGCCAATAATAGCCAATCCAAGGAAACCTTGTCAAGGATAGGTGCTATAGCCAAAAATATCCAGTTGAAGTCATTCAAATCTATACACGTTCCAATTGAATAAATTGTAAATAATAATTTGTGATAGCCATGTATAGCTATTTCAAGCCAATATAATAAAAATGAATCCTTATGTCTAATGTTAGCCATTTGAATTCATTTTCATCTATAAACACCGAAATAGCATAGGATTGTCAACTATATTCACGAATAGCCATTCATAACCATTTAAAGCCAATCGGTAAAAAATAGATGGTAATAGCCAAAACTAGCCACACGAAGCACTTTCACTTTGTAGACAAAGAAATAGCTGATAATTATAAATATTAGTCGCTTTAAGCCATTAGTAGCCAATTCAAGCCACCGAGGTGAAGAACAGATGATTAAAGCCAATAATAGCCAATCCAAGCCAACCAAGTCAAAAATAGATTCCTTTAGCCAATAATATCCAGTTGAAGTCATTCAAATCTATACACACTCCAACTGCATAAATTGCCAATAATAGTCGCTGATAGGCATGTATAGCCATTTCAAGCCGATTTGGCCAAGAACGGCCCATAGCCAATAATAGTAGACACTTTAATCCATTCATATTCAAAACATCATGAAAACTATGGAACTAATGTTTTATCTGAAACTATTTAACGTAATATTGTTAAGATGATATGCTATTGCCAACAATAGCCACTTGCAGCCATTTTCATTCATAAGTATAGAATAGCAGAATATTGCGACCAATAAGCACAAATAGGCATATTTTTGGCAATAGGTGACCAGCGTTTGAGCCGGAAGTTTCGTCATCCAAAGCGAGGCGCCACGTGACTTCACGCTTCCGGTTCGTCCGGTGCCGGTCGTGATTCTTCCAGCTGCACCAACAGCCCTTCATGGCGTGGTAGCCGTGCTGTATTCGCGGTGAAAATGGTTTACAGCTCCGCGGTACGTCGTTCTAACGCAAGCCATAGAGGGCATAAGATGTTCCAGCTCCCATGAAACAAAGCATGGAAGCAAGGATCGGCCGTCGCTGTTAAGCGAGTGATGGAGCGAGGTGACCTGTAACAGACAAACGTCGGTGACCATTTATGCGTGGCCAATATTGTTACAGGCCAGTACAACGTGTTCTCTCTTTCTTCAGGTAGGGGCCGCGGAAAATAACGATCTTTAACGGTCTCTTGGCACCCACCAAAACGGTCTCGATTTATCCGCGAAGGGGCGAGCACTGCTTGTCGTACGAGGCATCCACGAGAACGCAGGATTCGATGTCGCAGGCAATCAGTTCACGGCATGACGTTTCGTCGACTTACAGTGCCATCGCCAGGCGGTTTAATTCTTACATCGACAGCTCAGATTAACTTTTTCTCGGATTAACTTTTTCTGTAATGAGCTGCCGCAGACTGTTCCCGCGAAGTGGCGTAAATGGGTGGCTTGCTATAATATAAGTAAACAAAAGGAGAGGTCAGCTTGCTGTAATATAAAGAAGCAAAAGCAAATGTGCAGCACCTTCATATTGACTGATAATAAAGCGGTAGTACGACCCTGCGTAGCTCATATCAAAATCGGTGCTCGTTCATTCATGCTTTCTTACTCGACATAATTAAAAAAAAAGTGAGGGGGGGGGGGGGGGCGGGGTTATGGTAGTCTACGAGGGACAACTTCGTTGAAGTACAAAAAACGCGTGAGTGTTAAAAATCGTGCGACAAAACATATTAGCTGAGTTTGAAACGCCGTCTGACCGACTTTTTCCCTGTCTTCAACTTTTGGTCGCCTAAAGATTTTCTTAACCGGACTCAGGTGTTCTAACAAAATGAGAAAAGTACGCCAGACCTCCGATCGGGCATTTCAGCTGGCCGCGTCCCACGGCTTGCATTCGCGCCTATTTGAGTGGGTGATGTGATCTAACGTAACCATCAAAAATATACAGAACCCAAATGAAAAACACCGGCTCAAAAGGAAAACGAAACATCTAAGCTGAGTTTTCACGCGAAGATTCGGAAAGCGCGGTGCGAGTGCAGCTTGCCGCCGGCCGCACTCGGTCTGTGCTTTTGTGGCCTTTCTCGA